CTTGAACAGTGTAGGGATTACAGGTGCCAAGCCCCCAGTCAGGTAAAAATCTGAGTTATTGGTATCTCTGCCTCAAAAATGAAGGAATTGATAAATGATTTACCCAAGGGAAGAAAACTCAAACAGTTTGCATAGAGTCGGGACTCAAACCCTAATTCTTTTGGTTCCACCTACTGTAACCTCTAATCAAACAAACTTTAAAGATTTGTAAAGTGAAAATGTAAGTACTGTATTTGTTGAAAAAAATCCACATCCAAGTGGACTTTCGCAGTTCAAACTTGTGTTGTTCAAGGGTGAACTGTATGTATGTATGTGTATACACACATACACGCACACAACGGAATATCATTCAGCCTTTAAAAATAAGTAAATCCTGTCATTTGCGACAACATGAATGAACCTGGAGGGCATTATGTTATGTGAAATAAGCCATGTGAGAAAGACAAATCATGCATGGTATCACTTATATGTGGATCTTAAAAAAAAAAAAGTTAGACTTCTAGAAACAGTAGAAAAGTGACTGCAAAGTCTGGGGAAATAGATGTTGGTAAAAGGGTTCAAACCAGCTGTGAGATGAATAGGATCTGAGGATCAAAAGTATAATGATGGTTGAAATACTGTATTGTATAACTGAAGTTTGCCCAAAGATTATAATTTAAGTGTTCTTACCAGCTATAAAAAATAGTAAATATGTGAGGTAATATATCTATTAACTAATTCAGGGGAATCCTTTTGTAATGTATATGTATATCAAATCAGCATGTTGTATACTTTAAATGTCTTACAAATTTATCAATTATAATACCTTGAAAAAGTTGAAAAATGAACACAATTATTGAAAATGGTTGCTTCTGGCAAATAGAACTTAGGAATAGGAATGAACTGCTTTGTAGTATTTGAGTTTTAAAACCAAGTACATCTGCTTCTGACAAAAGTGAAAATTAAACTTGAAAAGGTATTTCTAAGCCCTGCTTCATCAAAATGAGTAAGTGGAGTACAGTCTAGGGGCCAGCTGCAGTCGAGCTTTGGGGCCTCACGGAGGACAAGCCAAATGAACAGCCCTGGCAGAAGCCATGTCTGACCTTCCCCAGACGGTGATGTATTCAAACAGAAACCATCTTCCCAGTTGCCCATCAGGAGGCAGCATGGCGCTGCGGTGAAGGTCATGAGGTCAGGGGCCAGAAAGACTTGGGTTCACAGCTGCACTAATGTGCACCCTTAAGGTAAGTAACTTAACCGCTCTGAGCCTCGGATATAAAAATGAACATAATGGAATTTGTGAGGATACTATTAAATACAGTAATTATAACCTCCTAAGTGTATAAAAGTACCTGTGAGATTCTTAAGAGGCTTAAATGAAATGATGCATGTAAATTTAAGGTACCATACATATAGTAAGTCATTATAAATATTCTCTAATATTATATTTATATCCCTAAAGAATTTTTTTTAAAAGGTGCTTCTATTCTTGGGGAATTGGAGANAATGAAATGATGCATGTAAATTTAAGGTACCATGCATATAGTAAGTCATTATAAATATTCTCTAATATTATATTTATATCCCTAAAGAATTTTTTTTAAAAGGTGCTTCTATTCTTGGGGAATTGGAGAAACCCTACCATAGAGCTCTAAAGGCAGAACTGTGTCCACAAACTTGTGTTTGCAAAGGGGATAAGAAGGGCATCTGTAGTTTACAGGCAAAACTGTCAGAGATGAGGAAGCGCCACCCTTTGGGATCTAGCCTGAGGCTAACCTCCAGGTCCGGTTAGGACAGACACATCTTCCTGTCATCTCCCTGCCTTCTCTTCCTTTGCTCCTCTCTATAATGATTTTCCCCTATTTTTACCCACAACATAGAGCTGAATGATAATTTTCACTATTTTGTAAACTTAACAAAAGCTCATAAACCTCAAGCAACCACTTTTTATATAGAAAGGCCACCCGGTAGCTCTTTGTTGGTTTGAAATGTTTTGTTAGCTGATTTGACCCCTCATGTCATTTTGAAATATCTGGGCCCCATTCAGGTTGGGTTTCGGTCAGAGGGAAAGAAAGGAAAGAGGGGGGTAGCAAAAAAAAGAGTAAGGGCCGTGGAATGGGGAAAGGGTGATCAAACCCACCAGCTCTTCAAGGACTGCAGGACTGTGGACAGGATTTCTGGATACCTGCCACATGCAGGCAGCTGCTGCCTGGGAATACAGCGGAGAAATAAAGGGCAGAGCTGCGGGGATGCTGCGAGGACGAAATAAGCCGAGGTCTGACAGAAGAGAGTGGCTTAGGGATCGGGGGTCATTAACCAGCTGCCCAGGAGGTCCGTGAGGACAGTTCTCTTATCTCGCCTTTCTATAGGGGGACACACGCATTTCAGATCTGGGTTGCTCTCTAATACTGAAGTGTTGCTAAGTGTATCTCACGCCCCCTCCCTAAATACTAAGGAATTTGAAGTGCAAAGTAATAAAAATAATCCAGTGATGTGAAAAGAAGAATTGCTTTCTTTATAGACTAGTGGAGTTCCATGCTCTTTGCTGTCGCAAACCCAAGCAATCAACTCAATTTCTTCTGTCTTTAATGAGGAAGCAATTATTCTGTGGCTGCTCAGACCTACAGTAAAACTAAAAAAAAAAAAGCCTCGTGCTCTGGTAGCTTATTTTATTCCTTTCTATAAAGCTGATGAGAAGAGATACTGAAAAGTTAATACAGACTGCAGAGACTAGAATTTCACAAAAACCTGATGAATAAGGTCATAATGGCCATTCCACATGCCTGCTTTGTTCTATCAGATTTACAGTTTACAAGAAGTTGCTGCCTCTATTCCAGTTTATTTTTAATGCCAAGATTTAAGTCATATAGCATAAACAACAGCCCCAAACTATCTTTGCTGTCAGCTACAGGAAACTTTGGTAGGTTTAATCTTGGAGGAAGAACTATTCTCCAGGATCCTCCCAAGCCACAGACGACAGTAGAAGTGCTTGAGCCAGTTAAGTAAACTTGATTTATCTTAATTACCAGACAGAGTGCATTTTCCATAGGAAATTGCTGGACCACATGTGTGTCTGGCACACACAGAGAATTCTTCAGTTTCTTAGCCAAGCGGGGAGAGACGGGCTTATACGAAGAGACGAGTGAGATACAAGGGCTCTGTCAGTGGACAGTGACTGTGTGTAAATCCACATTCCCCAACTAGTTCATCAAGAGCCTGGCCTGTCAATGGATTACCAAAATGTGTGCTGAAAATAACTTGTCTGAAAGTTATTTGTCTGAAACTGGTCCAGAGACAGCAACACCGCTCGCTGCTGAGCCGCCGAACTCTGTCAGGGGCAGGAGAGCGGCTGGTGGACCCAGCCATAATGGCCATTCCATCAGATTTACAGTTTACAAGACATTGCTACCTGTATTCCACTTTAATGCCTAGACTGAAGTCTCTTACTGTGGGTTAGTTTTCAAGCTTCTCCAGAGTAAATAACAACCTGGCTACATCATTAAACACAGGCGGGAGAAGGTAGCATTGTTGACTTTTTGGTTCTACAGTAGTGTGTGAACATTTAGAATTTTTAACCCCAAAGCCTCTGTAGATCTCTTTTCTCTGCCTTGATTATACAGGTTAGATGTTCTAACACCAACCTTTACCCACCCATGTCACTGTTTAACGATTAGCCAGTAATTATGACCTGTTTTTAAAGCTCCTGTTATTTAATCAGGACAAATGATGGAAAAGGTGACTAAAAACCAGTTCTTTACATGTGTCTCCTAGAATAGGAACAAAGCTATAGATATTCTTTCAGAAGTTATTATCTTCCAGCTTTTCAAATAGGGAATTCCAGAAGCTCATGGAGGAATTTTAACAGCTATCATTCAGAGTTGGCCTATGTGAGGAATTTACTGTATATTTTGACTCAGAATTTTCCACAAGGGATGAAATGTGATTAACGTCATTCTTTATAGCTAATAAAATCCACCTATTAACTGCATCCTGTACATACTTCCTCTTTATTTTACAGGGTGTCTCTTATTTGCATCGATCTTGGGTCATGATTGGGGCAGAGAAGATACAGTGGTAAGGAACCTTGCCTTTACCACCTAAGACAATATGAAAAAAGTTTGTAACAAAAGAGCCAACAAGCCCAAATTGTGGAACTTGCCATTTTATTATGCCTGCTGCAGCGTCACTATCAGTGGTGACTTTGAGGACTGCTTGTATTTTACCTAAGTTGGGCACATAGAGGTCACAGGGGTCCTCCTTAGAAGGCATATCGACGGTGGACAGGAGACAAGCAGGACACAGGTGACAATAGTGGGATAACGGTGAGAGGTGGCCTCTGAGTCCAAGGCAAACTCCAAGAACAAGCAGCGTGAGTCCCACAACAGTTATAACTGGAAACTAGACATGAACCTTATGACTTGACAGGTCCTGTGATTCCAGAGTGAAATCCAGCTCAGCCCTAAGGCACTTCTCTCTTATGTCCCCATTTGACCAATTCGATCAGATGCCACAATGGTACTCACGCAAGAAATGAACAAAAAGTTCTTTGTAGTTAGATGTGTTCTACCAACTACTCATTACAGGTAGCTTTAGTATCAAAATTGATTATTCTAAATAAAGAAGAGTCAGAAGGCAAGCTAAAATGAAAATCAGAGCAAGTTACTCCCCAGTTCCCCTGCTTCAAGGTCTCCCCACCACTTGACCACATCTGATCTGGCATCAAAAAGTGAGGGTGCTGAGTCGTCAGTCACGGGCAGCTCTTTGCGATCCCGTGGACTGTGGCCTGCCAGGCTCCTCTGTCCACAGGATCATCCAGGCAAGAACACTGGAGTGGGCTGCCACTCCCTTCTCCAGGGGATCTTCCAGACCCAGGGATTGAACCTGGGTCTCTCACAACCCAGGCAGATTCTTCACCATCTGAGCCAAGATCTGGCATGGAAGGCCCTCCGTAACTTGGCTTCTGCTTCTCTTTGCTTCCACTTCTCTCCACGATCCTCAGGTAGCTTTAGTATCAAAATTGATTATTCTAAATAAAGAAGAGTCAGAAGGCAAGCTAAAATGAAAATCAGAGCAAGTTACTCCCCAGTTCCCCTGCTTCAAGGTCTCCCCACCACTTGACCACATCTGATCTGGCATCAAAAAGTGAGGGTGCTGAGTCGTCAGTCACGGGCAGCTCTTTGCGATCCCGTGGACTGTGGCCTGCCAGGCTCCTCTGTCCACAGGATCATCCAGGCAAGAACACTGGAGTGGGCTGCCACTCCCTTCTCCAGGGGATCTTCCAGACCCAGGGATTGAACCTGGGTCTCTCACAACCCAGGCAGATTCTTCACCATCTGAGCCAAGATCTGGCATGGAAGGCCCTCCCTAACTTGGCTTCTGCTTCTCTTTGCTTCCACTTCTCTCCACGATCCGCCCCTCACACTGGTGAAAACAGCCTGCTTTCCACCACGCACAACCACACCATGTCCGGCCTCTGTGCTGACACGCGCGCACGTCTCTCTGACCTTCCTTTCTCTTGCCGCAGTCACCTGACTGGCTCCTGTCTGTTCATCACGCCTCAGTCCAGGTGTCACCGTCTCCAGGAAGTTTGCCTTTCCTTTGATTCCCCAGGCTTTGTGACACGCCACCCACTTTGGGCTCCCACCGCCTCTGGTGCAGACTTCTACCTGAACTCTGGGCACCGTGTGTGCAATAATCGGCCAGCAGCGATCTGCGCCACTGGCCTGGAGCTCCTCAAAGGCAGGCCGGGTGTTTACCCCTGTGTGTGGGCACAATACCAGGCACAGGGTTGACCACATCACTGGCACCAGGGAAATGTTAGCTGAATGCAGACGCAAACCTTTCACAAACAAGTTCTGTTTCAAATGTCCCTGGCATAACTGTGTTCTACCTCTGCTCATGAGCTAATAAGTGCACTGTGAAACCTGGGAACAGCCTGATTCAGAAACAAAACACAATGAACACTTAGAAATCGGATGCCCTTCAGTATACCTTCTGTGTACTACATGGCTCACTTTTTTTAAAGTGGAATAAAAAGCAAGTTCTGTAAGTCCAAGTCCACCTATTAAAAAGTCCAAATTAAATGACCTTTACTCTTTTACTGTTTTGTTAAAATGCATTATGGTAAAAAATAGGCCTTTTCCCTGTTAATCTGGCTAAGGAAGCAGAACCAAGATCATCAAATGGGCTTTTACTGAGATACATGCTAATTTTGGCCAACCAAAATGGCAACCCACTCCAGTATTCTTGCCTGGAAAATCCCATGGATGGAGGAGCCTGGTAGGGTATAGTCAATCCGTGGGGTCACAAAGAGTCGGACCCAACTGAGCGACTTCACTTTCAGTCTCTTTAAGAAAATTAACATTTACAAAATTTTCCATATTATGAGTCAAAATAGAGAACTTTAAGGGAAAAAACCCCACACTTGTGAAAAGATGTTACTCTTGCAGTATAGGACTATAGTTAATATACAGCAGAATATCTCTAATGAATTAGATGCTTTCTTTTCCCCTGAAAAGATCAGGAGTCTCCCTGCTGTCAGAGCCAAACAGGCTCTTCTGGTGTCATGCTAACACCCAATTCAATTCAGTCAGATGACAATGAGAGATACGAGAAGTAAAATATGACCAAAAAAAAAAAAAAAAGCTCTGATGCTGACATTTCAGGTTTCACCATCGCTGATCTTTTTCAACATGGAGGATCTTCATGAGTATATGAAATACTCATTCTTGAAAAACTCCTCAGTCTGGAAAATTGATCTGTTTGCCTGGTGTACTATAACTTAAGATGTCAGGATTTCTTTTTTGTTGTTGTTTTATACGGAAAGCAGGGACAGTTTATCAAATGGTGTTTTGGAGTCTGAGGGAAGAAAGTGATTTCCTACAGAGTGAAATTTAGTCCAGATATAAGTTTAGCACTTTGGCCTTATTAAGGCAGTACTTGGCTATATCCATTTGAGAGTCTGCTCGAGTAATACATTTGATGACTTAGCCATGTAAAACAAACACAAGACCAAAACCCCCTTCCCTACTACATTTTTAGAAATGTCTAAGGCTCTTATTTTTCTTGCAACAATTAAATAAACTGATAAATTATTACATATTTTAGATTTAAAAAGGAATCACAAAACTATACAGCAAGATAAACAACCTGGTATCAATGTGTAATAAGGGATGCCAACAAAAGTTATTATTGAACAATTAATATATGCCCATTTAAACAAATCTATCCTCATTGGTCTATAATAAGAAGACCCCAAAGCAAAGGAACGCTGTGTCTGAGACTAGTCTGTAACTATTTTAAGCATCAACTATTTTAAGCATTTGTAGATAAACAAATGTTTATCTACATTTGTCACGTGGCTTTTGTTTCCCTGCCCTCCTCTTCCAGCACGCCAGCCAACTTTACGTGCTTCAAATCTAGTTTATACCATCCATACTCCAGTTTTCTCTGGTCTGTAGACTTTTCCTCCTCTAAACTTTGGTATTTAATATCAATGTTTGATATTAATGGCCTTCCACCTCTCCATGTCCCCAGCTCTAATGTTAACTTACAAGACCGACTTGTCACTTCTTGTATCCCCACCAGTCAGTTGCATATTTGCAAATCATGACTCTAGGAGTCTCTAGTGCTGTGTACAGAAAACCAAAGAATGAAATGCAATCTAGACCCTCCCTTCGAAAGGAGAAGGATGATGTCATTTCACTCCTTTGTTATGATTTTTACACTCTCGGAATTCACCTGTAATAGCACTGGTGGCTTACCTTGTGTCTGGTTTTAGATTTTCTACTGTGGAGAAGGTTTGATTTGTTGTTTGAATGGACTTGTTCTTCCCACTGAATGATCCATTTTCTCTGGATATAACTTCATATTCTGAAAAGCAAAAAAGCCAGCAGACACTTGTCTATATGCTCTGGCAAACTGGATGTTCTTGAAGCTAACAACCTAAAAAGTCACTCTCATAGAAGTGAGCAACTGAGATTGCAGGCCTGAGACCTATTGATCATACACATTAGCAACTTCTAGATGGAGTTTATCACTTGATGGGGAAGGTCCCAAAGCATCTGGGGAGTTGCTCATGGACCATTTTTGTTTTCTCTCTACCGGAGCAGGAAAGGCTGCCTGGTAACTGTGTAAAGTGATGACATGCCGGTGGTAGCACTGTATATGGGTAACCTATCATTTTGACATGTAAGGCAGATCATCTGGCAAACTGGATGTTCTTGAAGCTAACAACCTAAAAAGTCACTCTCATAGATGTGAGCAACTGAGATTGCAGGCCTGAGACCTATTGATCATACACATTAGCAACTTCTAGATGGAGATTATCACTTGATGGGGAAGGTCCCAAAGCATCTGGGGAGTTGCTCATGGACCATTTTTGTTTTCTGTCTACCGGAGCAGGAAAGGCTGCCTGGTAACCGTGTAAAGTGATGACACGCCGGTGGTAGCACTGTATATGGGTAACCTATCATTTTGACATGTAAGGCAGATCATCTGCCATTGCTGGAAAATCCAGTGCAGTTTTGTAAGAAACATTCTATGAGGAGTGGTGCTTCAGCAGAAGCCCATTTCCTACTCATCGGGCTTTATAACATAGCTGGGAAATGGTCACTGATGATGTGGTACTGCTGCAAGTAACAGTTAAAACCACAGCAGCAAAAAACATTTAAGCAAATAATGAACTACACTTTCCCAGAGTCCATTATTTTGAACTACAGAATTACAAGATTTTGGTACCTACCGCTTATGTAAGTTACGTAAGTCTTGTACATACTGCTTATGTAAGCCCCCTTGATAATTATTCTTGAGTTAAAACAAAATGAAACTTTGCCCTTAAAGTCTGCAGAGAGATCTGTATACACTTACCTAAAGGATAGCTTTCTATGAACTTACAGGGCTAATCAAAAGAGAAGGACTTTCAGAATAAGAGAATATAATTTACTGATTTGTTTTCCCTGCCGTCACTTGGGATTTAGTTTAATACATGTGATGAGATCACGAAGAGGATTACAAAAATCAAACAAAAAACAACCAACCACCACAAAAGCCCACTCAAAAACAGTTCTGTCAATATGAAGAAATACACAAATGGTGGGCTTCGGGGAAAGTGGGAAGGCTGTGCGTTACTGGAACTCAAGCTGTTAGCGCTGAGACCAAAGATAGGAGATAATACTGGAAATAAAGCTGAAATTATAGGATAACTCGTGGAGACTTATAATCACCAATTTTAATTTGGGAGGGATCTTTAATGGTAACTTAAAAACATCCAAGATGGAGGACCACCTTTTCAGAATAACTTCCTATAACCATCCTTCTGAAAATTTTAAAGTAGACTAGAGGGCAATGGCCAATGTATATGGACACAGGAGTGCAGCTTTTAAAAGACTAATGGCTGATGTTTAGTATGTCTTCCGCAGACTCTCTGCTCCCAATCTATGTGTCAGCTGACTTTCTGTTCTAACGGAGCATGGACATGGAGGGAGAGGGAGCATCTGGAATTCAGATATTCAAATTACACTTTTCCCTCAGTCATAAACGGGCGTTTACTAGAAAAAGAAGGGGTTAATTAGCATGGAACCAAACAGGTAGTTGTAAAAAGTGGAAACTGCGTGACTTAATGGAAAGAAACAGACCAAGCCACTTGCCTGGATCTCAGTCTCAATTTTCCCATCTGTAAAATGTCCATAGTGTCTCTCCATAGTGTTGCTCGTAGGGATTAAAGCAGGAACATATGAAAAGTGCTTAACAGGTGGTACCTATTATTATTATGTCTTTTATTATTCTTTATTATCCCTGAGCTGTATCTTAAAACTTGAAAATTTGAAAGATTCCAGTTTGAAAAATTCAAGTGCTGATTAGTCATTGAAAGAGCAGTTTATATGACATTCCAGTTGGTTTATCCGTGAAAGCAGTCACCTTCAAAAAACATCTTTGGGTCATTCCTAATGTTTAAAGGTTAATTTAACATGATTTTAGTCCTGAAACTTTGGAGTTTTCAAGGTGGATCTAGAAGTTCTCTTCATAATTAAAAAGGTATTTAGAATTTTTCTCAGAATTCTTGTTTTAGAATGTGTGTATCTTTCCTTTTTAATTTTTTAAAGTGATAATAGCTTTTTCATAAATGCACCAACATTCTAAAACTCTACCACCACCAACTCTACCACACACAACAAAAAAGTGTGTGTCCCTATTTCTTAAGATAGGGGATTTAAGATAGGGATTTAAAAAATAGTTTCTTTAAGAGTAAGGATATAAGAAAATCTACAAAGAACAAACACCGAATACGTGGTCTCTTTAACCCCCTCGGAGGGTTTTAATCCCCTTATGAGATAATTCGCTTAGAAAATAATCATTTATTATGAAGTTTGGGAACATCATAGTCTGGTCAGTGCAGCATGAAAATAATAATGGTGATACTGCTGCTGCCAGTCCTACTGTTGCTGCTGCCGACAAGTGTTAATTTAACAGCTTCTAATTTATGATGCATGAATTCTCTGTTAAGTTCTACACTCACAACAAATTGATAACAATGGGAATTATTATTATTACAAATAAAAAACTAGAAGTTCAAAGAGGCTAATTATAGATTCAAGTTGCATTATTTAGAACACACCCGGTCTGGGATTGAAATCTATGTCCGCATGATCTTGACATATCACAAAATGACAGCTTATGACTAACTTAACTTTAAGTTGTCCAAGGATCTAGGCTATGGCCAATCTCTATGGTGAACTTATTTCTACTTTAGTGTGGAAGGGTCATGGAGAAGCATTAGAATTTGGATGTATTTACTAGAGGTGAATACATGCCTATCAATTAAAAGGAAGATTACTGAGAGAAGTCAGCTCGGAAAATGAAGAATATGTTCCCTCTCTTTTGTTACCTTTCTTAATCCTTTCCTGAAAAACCATTTCTAATGATACGAGAATTAATCTCTGTATTATCTGAGCTACTGGTTTATAAAAGATTACATTTGAAATCAAGTGGTATTTAATGGAAAAAATAGATCATCAGGGCATATGGTTCAATGTTTAAACATAAACTAAGTAAATAATGACTAAATACTGACTTATTTCTATGTATAAAATATTATTATTATAGGTGTGGTCCTTATCCATGAAAATTATCGTTAAGTCCAGTATCTAGTGAAAGATCTCAACAGCTCATTAACATTTAGTAATGTTAATAATAATGTTAAAACTAATTAGTTAAAGTATATCCTATTTATGATACTTTGAGATTACAGATTTATGTCATTTTAAAAAGCTACATGATAAAAGGAAAATACAGAAAGGAAAATCCTGCTGTTCTCAAAAGTTAAATCATAGCCAAATGAATGTGTATTAGATTATTAGACATATTAGATTAACCAATGCCCATTTGATGTTCTGTATCTTTAAGGGAAGTGAAATTTTTATAAATCGGTTGGTCTTGTGAGAACTAAGTCTCAAGACTATTACAGGAACTCCTTATTAGCACTGCATATGGATTGAGAATTTTGAATCTTTTAATACAGATAGATAATCAATTCTTAGAAATTGATTGGTTTTTAGATATTGGGATGATAGTACCTACTGGCATAATCCCAAGTAAAGAAGACTAGTCAAAACTGAGAAAGGAAATTGAGAAAATATGTTTTTTTTTTCTTTTTAAAAAAGGCCAGCTAAGCAAAGATAAGCTGCTTTTGCACAAACTCTGGGAGATAGTGAAGGACAGGGAAGCCTGGTGTGCTGCAGTCCACGGGATCGCAAAGAGCTGGACATGATTTAGCGACCGAACAACAAGAAGCTGCTTACGCTGGAAGCTGCCCAGACTAAATGGTTTGTCCGAGGAGAAATAGCTGCTGTTTTCTCCTTTATTTAAAGAAAACTTTCTGGCAGCTTCTGCACCGCCCACTCCTCACCTTGCCCCACAGACTGCTCTCTCCTCCCGCTGACATCCTCTCAGCGCCGCCCCCCGCCCCATCCCACCTGCATGCACTCACAATATTTGCTCCATCCTCTAGCTGGTCTGGGTGGTTAGTCATCCCACCCTCCCCTCTTCTCTCTACTCTGACTCTCTTGTTCACTATGGAAAATTAAAATCCCCCAAAACAAAAAGAGTGACTCAGAGTTTCTTATTTTTCATCATCATTTTTATGAGGAGTAGCAGAGTCAAAATTCTCTGAGATGGGCAGAAAATTGACCAGGAACAGACGTTTGAAAAACCATACCTGTGGCTGATTCATGCTGATGCACGGCAGAAATCAACACAACATTGTAAAGCCATTATCTTCCAATTAAAAATAAATTTAAAGTAAAAAACACTCTCATAAAATGACTGAAATAATGTTTAGCCTGCTTCACAGTTCTAGGTCAATCTAGAAATTGGGATGGTGAAAGGAAAATTGATTTAAATACTATTAGCAGTGGCAACTTCTCATATGTCATTTGTAATTTTCTGGTAATGAAAAGACTAGATATACCTTCCCATTGAGAAAACGTTCTGAGAGGAGAAAGAAGATATATAACTTAAAGAGATCTGCTAGGTTAACAGAGAGACCATAACCAGGACAAAGACTACCTTTCCCATCTTCTGGCACTTTTGAAAATCATCTGCCACAGAGACAGCAGAACTCGGCAGGGACCTGCTGTTCCTGAGACCCATCACCCAGGGGCACAGTCTGACCTAAGGTACCACGTTCCCAGAGCATCGTCTCATCAATGCCTCCCACCGTGGCAATGGTCCGCTCGCCACGCTCTTACCTGTGACAGTGTCGTTGAGCGGCTTATCCCAGTCCAGGATGACGAAGGACGGGCACCCCTCCACAGTGACCACAGTGAGGTTGGTGGGTGGGTTCTGCGGTGGGCTGGTGGCATTCCCCTCTGTGGCCTCCTCTTTGGGGAATCTCTTGACAGAGTCGGTGATGGAGCAGGGGCTGTTGTCAGGCTTTTGGATATACCGCACGTGAGGCCCTAAGAGAGAGAGGACATTGAACATTTGGGTTTTTGTGAGCTTGTAAAAAAGGTGGAGGAGAACTCATAAGTAAAACAGTCTGTTTGAGGATATTTGATCTAATACTATAAGCAGATGGATGAAAGCAGTGATGTGGATAGTTTGAATTTGTGAAAATCCAGAATCCTATCTTTGGGATACATGATATGGATGATACTATTGAGTTAATTTTCTAAATAGATTTAGCTTATGCTAATATCCAAAAGTAATTTGGTTTAAACTGCATAATTTATGGGGTATTGAAAAGAGTACTCAAAAGGATCTTGGTTCAGTAGTGGGGAATGATTTGCCTTACATTAAAATGTAGTTCTGGTCCTACCAATACACCTTAAAAGCCAGGCTCAGAAAGATCAAGTGGTTTTAAGTTATTTAATTGCACCCCAGAATAAAATCCAACAATATTTTAGGAATAACAAACATATACAGCACCCAACTGGATAAATTCCTTACAGGAATATATTACCCATAATGAGAAAAATAAATCATTTGGAGTCAAACTGTAACTTCCATAGATGTTAGAATCATCAGACAAGGACAATAAAACAGTTATTATCACTATAATCCACATGGTCAAAAAGTTAAGAAATGGAAGATATAAAAAAAGACCTAAATTAAATTTCTAGAGATCTTCAAAGAGAGTAGAGAAGAAAAGCCATGTTAGGACAACAAAGGATTGTGGCAGATTTCTCATCGTAAAGAAAGCAAGTGAGAAGGCAACAGAGAGATGTCTTTATATATTAAAGAGCAAAAACCAAAACAGCAAAAAAACCTTATCATCTAGAATTCTATAACTAGTGAAAATCTTTTAAAAAACAAGCAAAATATTTTTTAGACATACAAAAGCTGAAAGAATTCATGACTGGCACACCCAACCTATAAGGAAGATTCACGGAAGTCCTCTAGGCAGAAGGAAAATGATGCCAGATGGAAATATGGCTGCACACAAAGGAAAGATGAGCACTGGAGACGGTAACTATATAGGTAAATATACATAATATTTACCTTATTATTTAATTCTCTCTAAAAAATAGCTTATTGTTTAAACAAAAATAATTACAATTTAGTGTGATCTATATAACATGTGAAAGTAAAGTAATAGCCCAACAGCCAGGAAAGAGAAGCTGCTATGCTAATATGAAGCTCTTATACTTCACAGTCAACTGTTTATGAAGTTGTGGGATATCACCGGAAGGTAGACTGTGAAGTTGAGGACACATTCTAGGAACACCAAATTATTCACTAAAATAACAAAACAAAGGTATAGCTAAGAGAACAACAAAAAAGGTAAAATGGAATCATAAAAATATTCAGCCCAAAAGAAGGCTGAAAAAGAAGGAAAGAGGGAAAAAAGAATAGATGGAACAAATTAAAAGCAATAGCAAGATGATAATAGATTTAAACCTAACCATATCATCAAAGAATATTACCATAAAAAAGGTTCCTTTTTTGTTGTTAAGGATTCGTTTCTTGGTTTTTTTCTTCAAGGATTTTTCCCTTAAAAAAGGTCACTTTATAATGATAAAGAATCAATTCATGAGTTTATCCTAAGTAATTGAGGTCTATACCTGAATACAGACCTTTAGTATACCTGGAGCCGGGGTTGGGGGCACTGGGGAATGACAGAAGAAGAAAGTAGAAATAAATCTACATTAGAGCTAAAGATTTTGGTATTCTCTCATTAACTGGTAGAACAAGTTGATAGAAAATCACAAAGGATATAAAAGAATTGCACAATATAACCAAGCAAATTGACTTAATTGACATTTTTATAAAACACTTGTTATGGACTGAATTATGTTTTCCTAAAATTCCTGTATTGAAGATTTAACTTCCAATATGAGAAATCAAACCTGATAATGCCTTGAAATAAGGCTTCTGGCCTCCAGAACTGTGAAAGAATAAATTTTGGTTGCTTAAGTCAAAGTCTATAGCATTTTGTTTTGGCAGCCCTAGTAAACTAATACATTATTCCACTTAAGACTAGGAAGATACACATTCTTTTTAAGTATACACAAACACACCAAGATATACTATATTCTGGGCCATAAAAAAGTCTCAATAAATTTAAAATGACTCAGGAAAAACAGAGTATATCACAACAGTGGATTTATTAATAAAAATCAGTAACAGAATGATCTCTTGAAAATCTTGAAATATTTGGAAATTAAGTAACCTACTTCTAATAAGCCGAAGAAGAAACCAGAAGGAAATTTAAAAGTATTTTGAATAGGGTAAAACTGAATACACAGTATATCAAACATTTTTAGATGCTGCTTGAATAATACCTAGGAAAAATGCAGCACTGAATTTCATATTTAAAAAGAAGAGAGGTCTCAAATCATCTTGAACCTTAAGAAATTAGAAGAGCAAATTAAAGTCAAATTAAGCAGAAAAAGGAAATAATAAAGATCAAAGTAAAAATAAATGAAATGGAAAACAGAAAAATAATACACAAAATAAATGAAACCTCAAATTGAACTTTTTAGAAGATCAAAAGAACTGATAAACCTACAGTGTGGCTGATTAGGTGAAAGAGAAAAAAGGCACATATTATCAATAACAGGAAAGAGAGAGGTGACATCATTACAGATTATTTAGATATCAAAATAAAAGAAAGTGAAATAAATCTGACAACTTAGATGATATAGACCAATAACTTGAAAGACAAAAATTATGAAAGCTCACTATGGAGGAAAGTATACTGAATAGTCTTATACCTATTAAAGAAAAGAAAGTGAAGTGGCTTAGTTGTGTCCAATTCCTTGCAACGCCATGGACTGTAGCCTACTAAGCTCCTTCGTCCATGGAATTTTTCAGGCAAGAGTACTGGCGTGGGTTGCCATTTCCTTCTCCAATTAAAATGAATTAAAAGTAAAACACTTCTCACAAAGAGAATGTGAGGCTCAGATTACTTTACTGGTGAATACTGCCAAATAGGGAAGAAGCAACACTAATTCCAAACCCTTTCAGAAAATTGAAAAGTTCAGTATTATTTTGACACTAAAACTTGAGTAGATTTTACAAGAAAAGAAAATAACAGCCCAATATCCCCCACGGAATACAATTCTAAACAAAATTTTAGGGAATTAAATCAACGATATATTAAAATAAGAATACACTATAACCAAGGAGAATTTGTCCTTGGAATGCAAAATTAATCTACAATTCAAGGACAATTACATTATCATATTAACACACTAAAAAAAAAAGAAAAACCTTATAATTATCTCAATAAAGCCAGAAAAATCATTAGACATAATCTAGCATTCATTTCTGCTTACAATTCTCACTGGAGCAGGAATAGAACTTTCTCAACTCAATAAGGACATCTATGAATAAACCACAGGTAACAACATACTTAATGGTGAAAGACTAAATGGTTTTTCTATAAGATAACGAATAAGGAAAAGATATCAATCTTCACTTTCAATTCAGTGTTTTTCTAGAGATTCTAGCCAGTATAGAAAAGCAAGAAAAAAGGTACTCAGGTTGGAAACGAGGAAGTAAAACCTTCCTCTTAGATGACATAGTTCTGTATATAGAAAACCCAGCATATCTACAAAAAAATCTACAGAACTTTGCAAGATTGTAGAATATAAGATCACTGTACTAAAAAATCAGTTGTTTTTATATATATTAGCAATGAACAAGAGGAAACTGAAACTTAAAATGCTACTCTTATGTTTTACTTCACTGAAACTAACAATCATTGGTAGGAGAAATGAATGCCTAAATAAATGGTGAGATATACCATGTTCATAAGTAGGAGGACAGTAGTGTACAGCTGTCAATGCTTTCTGATTGACCTGCACATTCAATGAAATTCTAATAAAAATATGAGCAGGCTATTTTTCTTTAGACATTGATAAATTCATCCTGAGATTTAGCTAGGAATACAAAAGGACCTAGAACCGCCAAAACTTTAGAGAAATAAAAACAATGGGGAACACATGTAAATCCATGGCTGATTCATGTCAATGTATGACAAAAACCACTACAATACTGTAAAGTAATTAGCCTCCAACTAATAAAAATAAATGAAAAAAAAAAACAACCAATGTTGGAGAACTAACACAACCTGGTTGCAGCACTTATCATAAAACCACAGTGATCCAGACACTGCGGTATTGATGGAAAGGTAGCTAAATAGATCAATGGAACAACTAGAGAATACCTAGATAGTTCCAGGTATATATGGACAACCGGTTTTTGACAAAGGTACAAATTAAAGGAACAATAATTTTTCAACAAATACGGTGGAACAATTTGATATCCTTAAGAAAATAAACTTGCATTCATATCTTGTATCATATACACAATTTGACTCAAAATGGATTATAGACTTAAATGTAAAAGTAGAAACCTTCTACAAGGAAACAGAGGAGAAAGTTCTAGAAGGGAACAGAGGAGCTTTTTGTGATCTCTGATTAGTCAATGGTTTCTTAAATGTAACACCAAAGAGGCAATCTATAAAAAACCAAATCAATAAACCAAGCTTCATTAAAATTAAAAAAGAAGACACACAGGGAGAAAATGTTTGCAAAACATGTACCTGAAAAAGATCTTCAACCCTGAAAATATAAAGACTCTTAAAACTCAATAATAAGAAAATAAGCAACACAATAAAAATATAGAAAAAATTGAAAGAGACATATCAAAAAGGATATACAGATGGCAAATAAGGACGTGAAAAGATGTTCAGCATCCTTAGTCATTAGGGATATGCAAAATAAAATCACAGGTACTACTACATAGTTTTTAAAAGGGTTTAAATTAAAATGGCTGACCATACTAAGCATTGGAAAAGATGTGGAGGAACTGGAACCCTCATACACTGCTGACAGAAAGGCAAAACAGTACAACTGCTGTGAAAAACGGTTTGACAGTTCCTTAAAACATTAAGTATACACTTACATACAATCTAGCCATTCCCCTTATAGCAATTTGTCCAAAAAGAATGAAAGCACATACAAAGACTTGTACATGAATGGTCATAGAATAGCATACTTTACTGGTAATATAAAAATGCTGGGAACAACCCAAGTGTCATGAAGTTTTAATAAATTATTATATATCTATGCAATAGAATACTCATAAGCAATAAAAAGGAATAGACTGTTGATACATATACCAACATGGATGCATCACTAAATAGTTATGAAAAGTAAAAGAAATCAGAAAGGAAGTTCATAATATATTATTTTCTTTTGTGTGAAATTCCAAAAATGCATACTAGTCTATAAAGATGATGCAGTTAAAGTGCTGCACACAATATGACAGGAAATCTGGAAAACTCAGCAGTGGCCAGAGGACTGGAAAAGGTCAGTTTTCATTTCAATCCCAAAGAAAGGCAATGCTGAAGAATTTTCAAACTACCATACAACTGTGCTCATTTCACATGCTAGCAAGGTAATGCTCAAAATCCTTCAAACTAGATTTCAACAGTAGGTGAACCAAGAACTTCCAGATGTTTAAGTTGGGTTTAGAAAAGGAAGAGGAACAAGTGATCAAATTGCCATCATCCTTTGGATCACAGAAAAAGCAAGAAAATTCTAGAAAAAAATCTACTTCTGCTTCATTGACCACTAAAGTCTTTGACTATGTGGATCACAACAAACCATGGAAAATTCTTAAAGAGATGGGAATACCAGACTGCCTGACCTGCTTCCTGAGAAATCTGTATGCAGGTCAGGAAGCAACAGTTAGAACTGGACATGGAACAATGGAATGGTTCAAAATTGGGAAAATAGTACATCAAGGCCATATATTGTCCCTCTGTTATTTAACTCATATGCAGAGTACATTATGAGAAATGTAAGGCTGGAGGAATCACAAGCTGGGATCAAGACTGCTGGAAGAAACATCAACAACCTCAGATATGCAGATGACACCACTCTAATGGCAAAAAGCAAAGAGGAACTAAAGAACCTCTTGATGAAAGTGAAAAGAGGAGAGTGAAAAAGCTGGATTAAAACTCAACATTCAAAAAACTAAGATCATGACTTTGGGTCCTACCACTTCCTGGCAAATAGATGGGGAAACAGTGGAAACAATGGCTGACTTTATTTTTCTGGGCTCCAAAATCACTGCAGACAGTGATTACAGCCATGAAATTAAAAGATGTTTGCTCCTTGGAAGAAAAGTTATGACAAACCTAGACAGCATATTAAAAAGCAGAGGCATTACTCTGCTGACAAAGGTCCATCTAGTTAAAGCTATGGTTTTTCCAGTAATCATGTATGGATGTGAGAGTTGGCTATAAAGAAGGCTGAGTGCCAAAGCATTGATGCTTTTGAATTATGGTGCTGGAGAAGAATTTTGAGAGTCTCTTGGACAGTTCAAATGAGTCAATCCTAAAGGAAATCAACCTTGAATATTCATTGGAAGGGCTGATGCTGAAGCTCCAATATTTTGGTCACCTTATATGAAGAGCCAATTCACTGGAAGATACCCTGATGCTGGGAAAGAATGAGGGCAGGAGGAGAAGGGGGCGACAGAGGATGAGATGGTTGGATGGCATCACTGACTCGATGGACATGAGTTTGAGCAAACTCCAGGAGACAGTGAAGGACAGGGAAGCCTGGCATGCTGCAGTCCATGGGGTCGCAAAGAGCTGGACATGACTTGGGGGTCGCAAAGAGCTGGACATGACTTGGTGACTGAAAAACAATAGCAACAATCTGTAATGTAGTTACTTTGAGACTAGGGGTTAGGTGGGAGAAGTGAAGAGGGGTGATTATAAGGTACATGATGAAACTTTTTGAGGTGTTGCATGTACTCATTTTAACCTCAGATATGCAGATGACACCACCCTTATGGCAGAAAGTGAAGAGGAACTAAAAAGCCTCTTGATGAAAGTGAAAGAGGAGAGTGAAAAAGTTGGCTTAAAGCTCAACATTCAGAAAACTAAGATCATGGCATCTGGTCCCATCACCTCATGGGAAATAGATGGGGAAACAGTGGAAACAGTGTCAGACTTTATTTTTTGGGGCTCCAAAATCACTGCAGATGGTGACTGCAGCCATGAAATTAAAAGACGCTTACTCCTTGGAAGGAAAGTTATGACCAACCTAGACAGCATGTTAAAAAGCAGAGACATTACTTTGCCAACAAAGGTCCATCTGGTCAAGGCTATGGTTTTTCCAGTGGTCATGTATGGATGTGAGAGTTGGACTGTGAAGAAAGCTGAGCACTGAAAAATGGATGCTTTTGAACTGTGGTGTTGAAGAAGACTCTTGAGAGTCCCTTTACTTTGGTAGATTAGATTACTGTTAAAAATATTCTCTATAGTGATGGAAAGAGTATATTTCCCCTATCTTTGAGTTGAGCTTAGGTCTGTGATTTCTTTTGCCATTGAATAGTTGCAGGTATAACACAAGGAGGTTGAAATGTTGTTGTATATCTGGACTCCTCTCTTTACTTTGTATTGTTAGGAGAATGGCTTCTCCTGGGTCACTGTTAGTCTTTCGTCTTGGGTACCAAAATGAACAGATGTGGAGCAGACCTCAGCCTAACCCGTAAGAGACCCAGCTGTACCTGCTGCTAGAAACAGAATCACCCAGCTAAGCACATCCTAAATCAGCTGACCCCATGTGACTTGTAGACACATGAGAAATAAATCCTCTTTAGGGTATGCTACTAGGCTTTCCTGATGGCTTAGTGGTAAAGAATCTGCCTGCCAATGTAGGGGACACAGGTTCAAACCCCGATCCAGGAAGATACCCCCCACGCCACGGGGCAGCTAAGCTCATGCACCACGACTCCTGGGCCACAGCCACTGAAGCCCGCGTGCCTTTAGAGCCCATTCTCTGCAACAACTGAAGCCCCTGCAACGAGAAGCCCTCTCACTGCAACTAGAGAGGAGCCTCTGCTTGCCGCACCTAGAGAAAGCTCGTGCAGCAAAGAATACCCAACACAGCCAAAAATAAATAAGTAAAATAAAAAAACATTAAAAAAAGAATATGCCACTAAGATTTTGTAGTTACTACACAGCAACAGTTGACTAATATACCCACCAAAGATAACTTTCTTAAAAGTAAGATTTGTAGCTGATCATACGTACCTTTGAATCTGGGCTTCCCAAGAGGATCAGTTTCTCTTGTTGGACTTGAGCTAAAGTCAGTCATGTTATCTGAGGATGGATGATACAATGAAAAAGTAGTAAAGGCTATAAATATTTATAATGTCTCCTGGTCAATTGCTCGCAGCTTTAATTTCCATATTATTATAATCCATATTATTCACATTTCAAGGCCTTTAACTGTGCCCTGCTGCAGATGTTCTGCAGAGTAATAAATGATTTAAAGATTACAACTGGGCTTCCCTTGTAGGTTAGTTAGTAAAGAATCTGCCTACAATGCAGGAGACACAGGGTTCGATTCCTAGGTCAGGAAGATCCCCTGGAGAGGGAAATGGCAACCAACTCCAGTATTCTTGACTGGAGAATCCCATGGACAGATGAGCCTGGCAGGCTACAGTTCATGGGGTCGCAAGAGTCAGATATGACTTAGCGACCAAACCACCGCCACCAAAGATTACAACCGAGTAGCTGATACACATTCATATATTCAGTTATGTGTGATTAGGAATGATATGTGATTTAGGAATAAGGACTGGGAAATCTAGATCTTTTGAGGAAGACTTTATTAAAGATCTTGACACTTCCTTCTATGTCTGCAAAGGAAAGGAGCACATTGCACAGTAAGTCATTAGAAGTAAGTGTAACTTTAAATTAAAATGTCCCTATCAATCATGAAATTGAGTAAAATGTACTGATCCAAAACTGGGACTCTCTGCTCCCTAATTTGAAATCCTCTGGTGCTTTGTGGCTAAGCATCCAGTGGGACCCAACTGACATACTCACCAAGATCTTCTTCTGAGGCAGGAACTGTCGGTGGCTTTTTATCTGTCTCCATTGTCTCCAAGGGAGCTTCTGTAGGTCTGAGTGTTGCCCTCAAGGGTGGGGAAGTTACTCGGCCTGACGAAATGATTCCTATAATGCAGAGCCAAAGGAGTCAGGTTTTGTAGGGAGCCCTGCCAAAGTTCCGCATTTACCTATTCAACAAATATTTATTAAGCAATTACCATGTGACTTGGCACTATATGCCAGGATTAGAGAGAAAATAAGACCTGCTGTCTTTGATTGATTGGGGGATATATGTGAGCCAAATTATACTGAAGCATTATAAATATTGCGAAAGCATAAGACAAGCTCTCAGAGAAGACAAGTCTATAGGGAAAAATGATGGATGGATGCTGGGGCGAAGTTAGGAATGCCTTCCTAGAGGGTGTGCCAATAAAGAGGAAAAGTGATCAGTAAGGCAGGCATGAGAGCTGTATTCTAGGTGGAGTTTACAGGAAGAACACAATCAGGGAAGCATAAAGTCATGTGGCATGTTGAATTTGAAGGCGTGAGAGCCAAGTGCCTGGAGGCAATGAGAGCAGAATGGGGGGCGGGCAGGGAAGGGCAATTCATGGAGGGCCTTGCATACCATGGATTTAGATATTATTTTTAGATGACAAGGGCCCATTAAAAATTTTTCGCTAGGGAAGTAACATGATCAGATAAGGAGAGAGTGAGCAAGTTAGGCTGCAAGGCTGGTGGCAGACTGAGAAATCAAGAACTAAAGCAGTTGTGTAGGTAAGGACAGAGAACTATGTAAAAAGCAGTGAGACTGGATGGAAGGGGTTTTACATGAAAGATGTCAAGAGGATGGAGTGGCCAGACTACAGATTAAATGATAGGCATGGGAGATGGCGGGGGAAGAAGAAAAAGGTTTATAAGTTAATGACTGATTCTGGCCTAGTGGCCAGACCAGTGTTACTCTGAGATGCTGTATTCAACAATGTCTCCTCCACTCTAAAAACACATGTAGGTCTCCAAAATAGGATCCATCCCAAGGTTTATGCAAATATGGGTAGAACAGAGTGGAGGCTAGTAGTAGTGATAGTCACCCAGTTGTGTCTGATTCTCTGTGACTCTATGGGCTGTAGCCCACCACTCCTCTGTCCAAGGGATTCTCCAGGCAAGAATACTGGAGTGCGTAGCCATTCCCTACTCCAGGGGATCTTCCTGACCCAGGGATTGAACCCAGGTCTCCTACATCGCAGGCAGATTCTTTACCATCTGAGCTACAGTCTGTCATAGAGTGGAAGCTGGATTAGCTTTTACAATCTTCATGGGAAACGGAATTGTCCTCAGATGATAGAGAGTCAAAGAGTAAGGACTGATGCACGGACTGAGGCCCAGCATGAACTCATGGGTGATGGGCCCCGGGTCCTGGTGGGGGTGGGCCCCAGTGAGAGGATGAGTGCCAGCCATGAGATGCTGCACTGCAGCCAGCAGGGGATTTTTTGAGTGGGCAGAGCCAGCAGGAAATGCTGGGATGGTATTTTCATCCTGGCAAGGAGAGCAGGACTGAGAGGCCCCAGTAGATCTGGAGATGGCGGACAGGTAGAGATGACTCGGGGGAGCCTAAGACTGTGCTCAGAGGCACATGTTCGAGAAGGCATGTTTTCAGAGAACTCCCAGAACACTGAACTGATTTTTTGAATTCCATATGCACTTTCTGTGATGGTCATCAGGCTAGATGTGTTGTAAAGAATCTGCCTGCAATGTGGGAGACCTGGGTTCAATTCCTGGGTCAGGAAGATCCCCTGGAGAAGGGAATAGCAACCCACTCCAGGATTCTTGCCTGGAGAATTCCACGGACAGAGGAGCCTGGCCGGCTATAGTCCATGGGTTCGCAAAGAGTAGGACACGAATGAGCCACTAACATTTTTGCTTTCTTTCCTCAATGTAGACATTTCTTTTGAATTAGAGAGATAGCAAAGGGTGGGGAGGGCACCAGAGTTAATCTCAGAAGTGGGATGTGTTTACACCATCCCACCGGCTGGATGAGTTATACCAAACTACGCTTATTGATGGGAGTGAACAAGTTTTTACATGGCAGGAACCAGGGCCATGCAGCTGCAGCTGGAGACCCACAGCCTTGCAGGAGAGCTCTGTGGGGGAGGTTCCCCTAACTCTTCCGTGGAGGACCCTGCAGCATCACTTTCAGTCTGACCTGAAAGCTACAGAAGCTCAAGTCTCAGCTGCCCCAGGTTACAACTAATGAAGAAAACCTGGTCTCCTCACTGGGGCCATGTCCCTAGACCTTGACTCAGGCAGGCACCACCAACATGGATGATAGGCTGATTCCTCCTTTAGCTGATGGGAAAACAACCCAGAGGCCGCTGTCCCCTAGTACATCATGGAAGCTTCTCCACCACATCCTCCTTTCATCCTGTGAAAAGAGTGACATCCATGCCCTTTCTCATAAATCCTTATCAGTTTCATCTTCCACAGTTGTACCTAACACTGTTATCCTGATTCCCACTACAGAATATTTAGGAGATAGACATGAGGGAAGAGGGGGGGAAAGATGGAGAACATGCTGTGATCTGCTGGCAGGTCCAGTGGAACAGCCTTTAAGAGGAGTGAGATGAAGCTTTGCTCTGAACTGGGCTCACTGATTCTTAATTTCACTCATAGATTCACTCAATGATTACTAGATTCACTCAGTAAGGACTGGATTTGGTTCTGGAAATTCAGAGAAAGTGTCATCTGTCATCACAGAGCTCATGATCTAGTAGGGGAATACAAGGACATGAACAAGTAGTTCTAAAAGAGAGGTTTGCTCTAACAGAGGTATGTTTCAAGGAGAAATAGGACAGATAAGCAGTGTTAAGTCTACTTTGGGGAGTTATAGAAGGCTTCTTTAAGATAAGGATGGAGTACGAGTGTCCCAGGTGACTGGGAGAGGTCATTTTATGTGAAGAAGACAACGCATGCCACAGTCTAGAGGTGAGAGGCAGTCTGCCTTGTTGCATAGACCAGACCTGCTCAGTCACCATGAGCATTCCAGTCTGCAGTCTTTCCCCTGGAACCATAATACTGAGGTCAGCATGAAGGCTGGTGGACAGGGGAGCTATCAAGGAGAGGTAAGTGATTTCATCTCAAGAGACAGAATGTTAAGTGGAGGAGATTTTCCATTACCCCTGGTGGATTGGCAGCACAAAACGTCTTGTGCAAAATAATCCATTTGTTGAAGAGCTTGTGACAGCTTCCATCTCAGCACCAAGCACCCAGCATCTAAGAAGCAAACTGACCTAGATGGACAAGGATGGTGGCTGTCACCCCACCCACCCAGAGTCAGGACAGGAGTCCTTAAAGTTGTAACTGACAGTGTCTGGTCTTTGGGGCCAACACAGCCATGTGTCCCACATGCCTAGAGCTGTCTGTTGCTTGAGCTAGCACACCAAGGGCTGGTGGTTGACCAGTAAAACGGAATTCAAGGAGGGATAGCGAAGGTGTGTGGCCGACATACCTGCACTTCCTGGCTTTCCGGTGACATTGTTGGGTGGTAAAGGCTTTCTTCGTGGGGGCATGGGTCTGGGTGGCAGGGGTGGGCGACGAGTACCTGGGATTATGGCTAAGAGATAATATTACAGATTAAGTGGCCCTAAGGATTCACTCGATAAAATCACAGGTTTTTTTAAAAAATACAATATTCGACAAGTGGCAGTTGGATGACAGAGAATAGATTCTACAGAAAAGTGCCTGTGAGTAATACTTTCTGATGTTCTTCTAAATTAGTGCTTGTAATGTACCCAGGGATAATAAAGCAGATGAGTTAATGGGGAAAATATTCTCTGATTATGGACCCTTTGAAAGGCTGTATGAATGCACAGAATTTAACATCTTTTGCTTCTCATATAGATTCAACAGGAGCATTTCTGAGCTTCATTGTCGCCAATTGCCTTTGCTTTGCAGACTACAATTCTTATACCATTTTTTCTTTGAGCTGGTAAAGCATTTAATTTCTCCCTTAGTAGGTGTTCCACTCCATCCTCCAACTATATCACGTAATTATAACTAAACCAACAATTTTAGAACTTCTCAAATGATTACAACAAAGTAGTCCTAATGGCAGATGCAGTAAGCCTGTGCCCCATGCAGACCAGAGTCACCACACAAGGGCGCCTGGCCCGGGAGCTGTAAGTGGGAGCCAAGATTTCCCACCCACTCCGCTCTCTCACCCACCCATGAGCCTTCGCGCAAGGACGCCAACCCAGAGGAAAGGCACGTTTTTCTAAATGGTTTGCCTGAAGGGCAGAGAGGAGAGAAATCTTTTTATAATCTGCACAAAGGCTGACAAGGCTAAAGTTACCTGAAGCAGTCCATCTTAACCCAAATTTTCTTTGAAGTCCTGTGTTATAAGCTTAAAAATTTATCTCTTTCTTTGCATAATGTATTGGTTTAATAATCTTCAAGCAAAATTGACAATCCAAGAAAATGCCCTGTGACTTTAAGTACTTCCTGGGATATCAGGAATTGTGCATGTACATGTATGAATGTGCATATGCTGGGGGTAGGGAGGAGTGAGTCGTGATGATAGAATAGAGATGTCTCACCCAGACATTAATAGATCGGAGTAGGTTCCACAGCATCCTTCTACAAAGCACAGAGCTCTTATTCAATGCAAAGATATTACCACTTCATAATTTTGGCCTATTATATACAGAACAGTCTCAAAGTAGAAATATGAATCATTTCTGGCAAAAGGATATTATAATAAACTACATAAGAGGAAAACTTGTATATGATGAAAACTAGAATCCAGTTACTTTTCAGCGTTTGCTCCACTGTGGCCCCTCAGGACATTATGTGAAGTAATTAATAAATCAGTTGCTCATTAGAATTTATGCACAAAGCACTTTTCATTTTCCCGAATAGTTTAGTATGTTTATCTAGCAATACCCAGGTACTGTTAGCATGGATCTGATGCTTTGGGGACTGTGAGCATGCTACTTGTTTTGCAGCAGCACATATAACTTGCAGCTACAAGTTTCAGAGCAGAACTGAGTGAGGGAGTCAGCCGCTTATTCCTTACCTGGTTTTTTTGTGGGGTGAGAAGAATCCACTGATACATTTCTACCAGCACCAGATGGCAGTGGGACTTGCTTGACCCCTGTGAGCAGAGATAATGACAGAATAAATAGATAGCTAAAATGTGATAAACATTCTTCACAGAAACTTCATAGAATTGTTAGTGATAATGTGCCCTTTTTTTTTTCTTTTAGAACAAGGATACTGGTGTTTTTGTGCCTAGACATTTTGATTGGCTTCTCCCATCTGCATACAGAAAAAAATATCTAAAGCCCTACTGCATTCATTGGTTGTGTTTTTTTCTATGAAGATTTAGTGTTTGATTTTTTGATTGTGGCTTTGTATTAATTTTCTATGCTGCCCACCCTGCACTGCCTGCCTGGGTGGTGTTGTCTTGCCAGAAAGACTTCATCTACAGATTGACTTTTTCTTTTTTTGCCAATATTCATGCATAAATTCTGTGGTTTTTAAAAATATTTGTCTCTAACTCCTCTACCCCAATAAAAACCCTTGTAATTTCAACATGTTTGGGTTTCTAGCTAATGAATTGACTTTAAAATATTTTTTGAGAAGCCTTGGTTAGCAGGCTGGTTAGGCCACAGACTGTATCTGCACTCTTAAGATTTGTAAATTAGGCCTGGGTAGGCCTTGAACTCCAAGTTGCTGTTTGGAAGAAACTGATCTGAAAATTACCCTGCATGCTATTTTATCTCCTAAGGCTCTCAGACATAATCTGTTGGTTATCACTAAGTCATTCACCTAAATACCCACGCTAGGATTTTGGGTAGCGATCCTAAGGGTAGAGGGAACCAATTTACTTTTTGTCCTGTATTTTAAAAATTATTGTTCTTTTACACTATAAAATAGTCTTCCCTGACATGGCTGGCAGTCTCCATTAAGGAATAATAGGAACGGACATTTAGAATCTCAAGAGTGAATATTATCCTCAGTTAGATATAGTGGCTCATCCTGAACTTTCCAGGTGGTGGCAGCGGTAAAGAACCTGCTTGCCAGCACAGGAGACACAAGAGACCTGGATTCCGTCCCTGGGTCAGAAGATCCCCTAGAGAAGGAAATGGCAACCCACTCCAGTATTCTTGCCTGGAAAATGCCAGGGACAGAGGAGCCTGGTGGGCTATAGTCCACAGGGTTGCAAAGAGGTGGATATGACTGAGCGTGTGTGCATACATGCGCGCGCGCACACACACACACACACATACAATGGCTCATCCTAAAAAATGAACCCATACACTGAGGACATGTGTGTGTGTGTGTGCTCACTATAATATGTATTAAAGATAAGAATAAACATTGAGTTTATATACTAGCTAGTACATTAATAAGAACAAGCAGTCACAGCCCTATTTAGAGTGCTGTTCCAGGACTCTGTAGGGATATTACACACTCAACCTCATGTAATATGTAGGAAGAGATATTAAGTATACAACAGAAGCTTTGCTTGCCAAAAATTAGATGATATTTTCACATTAATTTATGAAATTATTAATCATGACTGTATTATAATGAACATTAATCAGCCCAGGGATCGAACCCAGGTCTTCCACATTGCAGACAGAGTCTTTACCATCTGAGCTACCCAAGAAACTCATTAATATATTACTAACATTATTATTAACTATAATAATAATTATGATTAACATTAATTTATGAAACCTAATATTGCAATTCCACAGCCTCTGCTGTTTGAATAAGAGATAATATATAACCTCGTGGTGAATGTTTGTATGGAGCCAGGGATCAAATGCTGTTTATCTGTGGTGGGAATAAAGTGTTTCTGCAGTCAATGACTATTTTGTGGCTCATCCCACAGGCACTGTGGGAACAAAAGCTCATGGGTCTTCTTCCTGTGCCCTCCTCTGAGTGGTAATGGGAGTGGGAAATGACTCACTGGTGGTTACTCTGTCTGTGGCTTAGGGGAATGCAATTCATTTGTCAGCAGGATAACCTGGTTTGCTAAGATCTGATTTACCACTATTTTTCGAGGGTAAAATCACATTATATCCTCTAGCACGCTAGCAGGCTATGTGTGCCTTCAGTAGACACTTCTTCACACTCTTTTTCCAAATCAACAAAGTATGTTGATCCAATACTGCACAAGCACCTTAGGTATTCAAGACCTGATTTGATCCATACACCCCTTCTGGGTGGGAGATACCACTGGGGTCTCACAGAGGAGGAAACCCGAGGCAAAGGGAGATTAAGTACTTGTCCAGGGATTGACAGTTAAAGTGGAGGCATTCACACCCATGTATGCCCAGTTCCCAAGCCCGTTTCTTGAGCACTAATTGGGATAGTACAGGGTGTCTTTTTCTGTCATCATCTTCCCTCCGATAAAGAGAAGGCCAGAAGTGGCATCACTGGTGCTAAAGCCCATGCTACCAAGCCTAGACTTAAAACCTGACTTAACTGCAGTTTTGACCTTCCCCAGAAATGTAATCTCAATCGAGCAGCCTGGAAGTTTCTGGTCAGCCCCTGTGAGGGAATCTGTCACAGGCGCCCTCTTCATCCTCCAGAAGGAGAGGTGACCTACAATGGTAAAACCCACGCAAATCCCTTCTAGCTCCAAAGGTGTCCTGGCTCCAACACAGTATTTTCTTTGGGTGATGGTTCCCTTGCCCCACACTTGCTCCTATACACGTGGTCGCCGCAGCGGAGGGGGAGGGTGGGGCAAACGGGGAGAGTAGGATTAACACACACACACTCCCATGCATAAGAGAGACAGCCGGTGGGAAGCTGCTGCCTAGCAGAGGGAGGTCAGCCCAGTGCTCTGTGATGACCGAGCAGGCTGGGATGGCGGTGAGAGGGAGGTCCAAGAGGGAGGGGGTGTATATATACACACATAGAGACACACACACATGTACACGCACACATATGTGCACACATATGCACACACGTACAAACATGTACCCTTTGCTGGACAGTAGAAACTAACACAAATTGTAAAGCAACTGTCCTCTGATAAAAAAACAAAACTTCCATTGAGCACAAGTGTTTGGAGTGCCATCTAGTCACTACATAGGATGCTGCTTGATTCATAAATTGCTGAATGCATGCTGTGATAAGTCACTTCAGTCCTGTCCAACTCTGTGACCCTATGGAATGTAACCCACCAGGCTCCTCTGTCCAGGGAATTCTCCAGGCCAGAATACTGGAGTGGGTTGCCTTGCCCTCCTCCAGGGGATCTTCCCCACCCAGGGATCGAACCCTGGTCTCTTACCATCTCTGGCACTGGCAGGCAGGTTCTTTACCACTAGCACCACCTGGGAAGCCCAATAAAGCCAATTAAATCTTCAAATTTACTTGGCTGAATTTTTTTTTTTTTCAATGCTTCTCTTTGGCCTCACAATGAGTCTAACTGACTTTAGCTCTCAGGTCCGACACTCTGTATTTCAGGTGTCTGAAATACACCAGTGAGGTGAGGGCTAACAACCATGGCTGGCAAGCAGGTGCCATGCAGTCATGCCACTGATATGTGGGAGTCAAGAGAGAAATGCAAGGATGACATGGTTTTCCAACCACACGTGTGCAGATCCACCAAGCCACAGGCTGGTAAAATGGAGAACTGAGAGAGAATCTAAAGCTCTGCAGGATTACTTTATGGATAAGAGAAAAAATAGAATCATCCCTAGCCTCTTTTCTAATGGAGAAATCAGCCATTTTCTGTATAGGTAGAGATGGAAGCATCATAGTATTATGATCCTTGTAGGTTAAGTAGCCAAGTCAATAGCATCAGTTGCTAAACTGGATTTTGTCCAGCCTTCAGAAACAAAGAAAAGCCAGCAGTGGATGAGAACGCTGGGAAGAGTCCTGCAGAAGGCAGCTGTGGGACTCGGGGAAAAAGCATTGAACTGGGGACAGGAGAGTGAAGTCCAGTTCTGGGCTTGGCTCCACCTGGCCGTGGTTTGCATGTCAGCCAGTAGCATGTGAGCTCAGGCCCTGGAGGCCAGTGAACTTCTGTGGCCCTGAATTGAGGAAAGCCAATAAAGGCCAACGCAAGCAGAGAGGCGATGGAGGGCAAAGGAGGAAGCCAGTGAGAGAGAGTGCGGAAAAAGAATCCTCAGGAACTGACATCTGATTAGCCAGTGTGGGTCAGGCTGCAACATGAATTCTTTCTCCCTCAAGCAGGATTAATCCACTATTTTCTCAAGGACAGCACTGGCTCTGAAAGCAACAAGACTTGAACTTCAATGTAAGCCCCCAAATGTCATATGGAAATTCTCCAAAAATCTCTTGATTTACATAGTTCATCCCTTAGCAATTTATTGTCAGAAATGAAGTAATGATTTCAGTATTTTTAACCATGGTAACAGAAACTCTGCAAACAAACACAGCACACTGGGAATTGATTTCCGAATGTATTCGAGACGGTTCCTCATGACCGAAAAGGAGTGGTGTTTATGGATGATTGGTCTCCTCACCCACGTCTCAAGATCTCAGCACCTGGCTGCAAGGTCAGGGGCGAAGGGCCAGCAGACTGGAAGATTTAGTGGCAGCTCAGACAAACACATTCCTCACCTGGGCGGCATCTGGGTTCTGGTTGTCGAGCACACTCCACGTGGGTCCAGTGAAGTGTGGATTCCTCATTAGGAGAGAACGGAGCAGAGAAAGGAGTCTGGGATTCAGGTGTTAACATAGCTGCCAAAGCACATGTGCCAAGGGGGTTTCCAAACTACACTTTGCCTGGCACATGTGGGCCTTCAAGGAATGTTAGTTGAATGAAAGAACAGTTGCATAACTTAGCAGCTTTCTTCCACGGTGAGAAAAGTGGAGATTGTCTGGCAAATGATGGGTGATTTTTTCTGGCAAAGGTCAGAGAGGAACTATTTTCAGCTCTGAGGGCCATACTGTCTCTGTCACAACTCTTCTGTTCTGCCACTGTGTTGAGAAAGTTTCTACAAAACCTTGTTTACAAAAAAAGGCAGTGAACTGGATCTGGTCTGTGGGATTGTACTTCTTGTGGGCTTCCCTGTGACTCAGTGGTAAAAGGCTTCCCTGGTGGTTCAGTAGTAAAGAATCTGCCTGCCAATGCAGGAAACCCAAGAGATATGGGTTTGATTCCCAGGTTAGGAAGAGGCCCTGGAGAAGGAAATGGCAACCCACTCCAGTATTCCTGCCTGGGAAATCCCATGGACAGAGGAGCCTGGCAGGTTACAGTCCATGGGGATGCAGAGTCGGACATGCCTTAGCACACACATTTGTACTTTGTGCAATCCCTTGGTCTAGGCATGTTTTTGCATCTCAAGTTGGTTATAAGCATGTAGAACATATCAATTAAGCTGAGATGTATCTCTGGAAACCCTGAGAAAGCAGAGTGCTGGAAAAATGCCCAACCTAAACTTCACTCTCTAAAGGTTACTTTCTAACTTTAAGGTGGAGAAATATTATACATGTACATGTGAAATGAACATAAAGCAGGGTAAATATCTATAATGATGTTATGAATTAAGAAACTGGGGTCAAGATAGTTTAAAGATTGCAGGGTGTTAATGGAGTCATTGCAAGATTTGTTTAGAGACTTAAAGAATCAAAGGTGCATAGTTTTAAGGCCTCAGAATCTTTCTCTTTTAGTTTTCCAAAGGACCAGCAGTAAATATTTTTATGCCTGACTATGAAGAATATGCCCTATAAATCCTAAACACATCCTTTTTTTTTTTTAATGTTCTATTTTTTTCCCATTTATTTTTATTAGTTGGAGGCTAATTACTTTACAATATTGTAGTGGTTTTTGCCATACATTGACATGAATCAGCCATGGATTTACATGTGTTCCCCATCCNTGGAGAATTTTGAGCATCACATTGTTAGTGTGTGAGATGAGTGCAATTGTGTGGTAGTTCGAGCATTCTTTGGCATTGTGTTTCTTTGGGATTGGAATAAAAGCTGACCAGTCCTGTGGCCACTGCTGGCATATTGAGTGCAGCACTTTCACACCTCTTTTAGGATTTGAAATAGCTCAACTGGAATTGCATCACCTCCACTAGCTTTGTTTGTAGTGATGCTTCCTAAGGCCCACTTGACTTTGCATTCCAGGATGTCTGGCTCTAGGTGAGTGAGCACACATTCGTGGTTATCGGGGTCGTGAAGATCTTTTTTGTATAGTTCTTCTGTGTATTCTTGCCACCTCTTCTTAATATCTTCTGCTTCTGTTAGGTACATAACACTTCTGTCCTTTATTGTGCCCATCTCTGCATGAAATTTCCCCTTGGTATGTCTAATTTTCTTGAAGAGATCTCTAGTCTTTCCCATTCTACTGTTTTCCTCTATTTCTTTGCACTGATCACTGAGGAAGGCTTTCTTATCTCTCCTTGCTACTCTTTGTAACTCTGCATTCAAATGGGCATATCTTTCCTTTTCTCCTTAGGCTTCTGCTTCTCTTCTTTTCACAGCTATTTGTAAGACCTCCTCAGACAACCATTTTGCCTTTTTTCATATTTTTTTCTTGGGGATGTCTTGATTACTGCATCCTATACAATGTCACGAACCTCCATCCATAGTTCTTCAGACACTCTGTCTATCAGAGCTAGTCTCTTGAATCTATTTCTCAATTCCATTGTACAATTGTAAGGGATTGGATTTAGGTCATACCTGAATGGTCTAGCAGTTTTTCCTACTTTCTTCAATTTAAGTCTGAATTTCACAGTAAGGAGTTCATGATCCAAGTCACAGTCAGCTTCTGGTCTTGTTTTTGCTGACTGTATAGAGCTTCTCCTTTTCTGGCTGCAAATAATATGATCAATCTGATTTTGGTGTTGACCATCTGCTGATATCCATGTGCAGAGTCTTCTTTTGTGTTGTTGGAGGAGGGTGTTTACCATGACCAGTGCATTCTCTTGGCAAAATTCTTTTTGCCCTGCTTCACTCTGTACTCCAAGGCCAAATGTGCCTGTTACTCCAGGTGTTTCTTGACTTCCTACTTTTTCATTCCAGTCCCCTATAATGAAAAGGATATCTTTTTTTAGTGTTAGTTCTAGAAGGTCTTGTAGGTCTTCATAGAACCATCCAACTTCAGCTTCTTCAGCATTCCTGGTCGGGGCATAGGCTTGGATTACTGTGATACTGAATGGTTTGCCTTGGAAATGAAGAGAGATCATTCTGTCGTTTTTGAGATTGCATCCAAGTACTGCATTTTGGACTCTTTTGATGACGAGGATGGCTACTCCATTTCTTCTAAGGGATTCTTGCCCACAGTACTAGATATAATGATAATCTGAGTCAAATTCACCCATTCCAGTCCATTTTAGTTTGCTGATTCCTAAAATGTATGTTGATGTTCACTCTTGTCATCTCCTGTTTGACCACTTCCAATTTGCCTTGATTCATGGACCTAAGATGAATTTAGGTCCTATGCAATATTGTTCTTTACAGCATTGGACTTTACTTCCATCACCATCACAACCACAGCTGGGTGTTGTTTTTGCTTTGGCTCCATCTCTTCATTCTTTCTGGAGTTATTTCTCCACTGATCTCCAGTAGCATATTGGGCACCTACTGACCTGCAGAGTTCATCTTTCAGCGTCCTGTCTTTTTGCCTTTTCTTACTGTTCATGGGTTTCTCAAGGCAAGAATACTGAAGTGGAAATTGCACCAATTTGTGTGAATGTTAAGACAAACATCCTTTCCTGAGGTAAATATCATTTGGTTGCTATATGACAAAGAGATGTTCCACCCATATGTCCAATCAAGGCTCTCCTCAGCTGAGGCTGACCCTGAAGGCGCTGACAATGGGATGCTGTCTGCTGATTTTACTCTTAGCAGGGGGCCAGCCTGTTCTTCCCTGAGGGGGATCCCAATAGAGAAACATTAGAACATGGAACATGTGAAGCACATTTGGATTGGGGATGTTAGTGGAGCAAGGAAAGGGGAAACATCAAGCTTAGCTTTGTTTATCTGTGCCCACCAACCTTTTTCTATCACCAACCAATGTACTAAACTGAAGGCGTGCTGGTAAAAGGTCATCCTACCAAAGCTAAATTAGCTGAGTTACTACAAAGCTGACTTTATCTACACAAGAGGGTAACAGATGTCAATCTGTATCACAAGTAGCTCTGGAAAAATTTTTATACTACTGATAAACTAAAGCATAATCATGCTCTGTTTTCTCCCCAAAAGACAATTAACATTTTCCTAGTGAGAATCACTGCTTGCTCATTCTGAAGGTTAATGGCTTTCAAGTTCATCATAGCTGCTTGTTCTTTCATTTGTTCTGCTGACATAAATGCTTTCTTCTATTTTTACTTGGACAAACTCTGGGGAATTATTTTGAACATTCAGAAGGTAGCTGTCTTCACAGCCAGACTGTTTACGTCAATATGAGACACTATGTACTGCTTAGTCCCACTTGGGAAGAATAAAAGGAACAGCTGAGCACAAATAAATACTGGAATGCTTTCTTACTTTTCATGAATCAGGAATTTACAGTATCTGTCTCATTAATTGAAGGAAAGTGAATTCCTAGAACTTCAGACATTGTAATAACCTAGTACAAAAACACGTACTAAAAAAAAAAACTAAATCATTTTTAGACTGAATACATGTCTTCAGATAGTATTCACATCTTTCTCATTAAGGAACAATTAATTATGGGTTGATTATATATACATATATATGCATTAAACAAACTATAATGTTTATGCATTTTTACATAAGCAGGCACAAGATCTGCACTATTTAAAAAATATTTCAAGGGAACAATGCAATCCCATATTAAGGCATTTAATAACTACCATTTACCTACTGAGTGAGTTGAGTGAACTTTTATCAGTTATTTGTCCTAGTTATCTATATGATGTCCCATAGAGGAGACTGGAGCAGGGCAATATCATTTAATCAAACTGAATGAATTGTAAACATTAATATGCTTGATCATTAATATGATCATTTGCTAATTGCTCTTCTCATTTAAATATCATATTCCAGTTTGTGGATGTGGATTTTTTAAAAATATTAAAATGGCACTTATGAAATTATAAACTCGAAAACCAATTGATCATTGTCTCAAAGACCAAACCTATATATGGAAATGTGAAGTTTCCCTAATTTTGAAATTAGGGAAAAAGCTATTTTGATATTTTAATTCATACTTAATCAGGCTCTTTTTAATAATTAAGACTATATATTGTAGTTGATTTAGTGGACTGGGTTGAGAAAAGTAGGAAACTATTTTTTTTAAGTTTACAGGGACATTTGAAATTTTGATTTTGGAATGATTTACAATTTTCAGTTCTATGACCTTCTAAAACTAGTTATACTAACTCAAAACTAGTAAAAAGGAAATTGAAATGTGAATTTAACAAAATTTTAAAAATTGAATTAAAACATTTAGAATTTGATAGGATCAAAAGGAAATAAGTTTGTGATCACTACCTGCTCCTATTCCATTCCCTCTGGGTGTCCCACTGGGTCTGGGTCTGCTCGGTCTTGTAGTTGTCTTATTTAGAACTATAATAAAGTGAGAAACAGTTTAGACATTTTTTTTTAGTTGAACATTTGCAGTCAAGGAAAATAAAGCTTCCCAGAGAACTGGAACTCATGTAACTGGCAACAAACATGATGAATTACCAAAAACTAATGTTCACAATAGAGAAGTCCCAGTTTTGGAATGAAAATCATACAGTTGAATCTGAGACCTGACTGTATACTCTGAGGTGATCTGGTCTAAGTGGGAAATAGGTCGCTTCTTTTATAAGCACTAGAGACATTTAAAAATGGGCTTCCCTAGTGAGTCAGACAGTAAAGAATCTGCCTGCAATGCAGGAGACCCGGGTTTGATCCCTGGGTTGGGGAGAGCCCCTGGAGAAGGAAATGGCAAGCCACTCCAGTATTCTTGCCGGGAGAAGTCCATGGACAGAGGCAAATGGTGACTACAGTCCATGCGGTTGCAAAGAGTTGGACACAACTGAGTGAATAAACTTTCACTACTGTCACATTCCAGACTGGGATTGAAGAAGGATCAGGACCACATATGCCCAATGAAAACCCAAAACTTGGCGTGCATTTATTGTTAAGGCCTTAATTCCTGACACATAAGTTGGTGGTCCTTGTGTAGGGGTCTCTAGGTACACATCCTTCCTCATAATGCTGGTGTAAGTCTCCTTAAACACATGATATGGTAAAAGTATTGATATTTCTCTCCTCTGTTGAGAGTCATAATATTACCAAAACACTGAAGTCATCTGTCTTATTCTCCATTTAGCTGCTTTTCAAAGGAAAAGCACTAAGTATATTGCAATTAAGAGAATGAGTTCGAGGGGAGGAGCCAAGACGGCGGAGGAATAGGACGGGGAGACCACTTTCTCCCCTACAAATTCATCCAAAGAACATTTGAACGCTGAGCAAATTTCACAAAACAACTTCTGATCGCTAGCAGAGGACATCAGGCGCCCAGAAAAGCAGCCCATTG